CGCCTCTGCGAGCTCCTGCAGCAGGAGGAGGAGGAGGAGGAGGAAGAGCAGGTGAAAGAGATGATTAACTTTTTATTTCTCCTGAAACTCGGTAATAGGATTTCAGGGGCTGCCGGCCAGGCCTGCTGGGAGAGCAGCTGGCAGGGTGGTAATCCCAGGAAAAGGGGGCCCTGTGGGAGTGCAGGGGGGCACAGGGGGTCAATTGGGCCCTGGGTGCCTTTTGGGGGGTCCACAGCCCCCCACCCCACCACTGGGGCCCCCAGCACAGCAGGGCTGCTCGCTCCAGCCTGGTATGGGCACAGAGATGCTGCCTCACCTCATTTAGGGTTACCTTGCCTGGATGTGGCTTTTCCCACCCAAAAATATCATCTTGGTGATAGAAAAGCAGGATTTGGGCTGGTTGGCATGAGCTGTACATGGGAAGCCCGTGCAGGGGACCGCAGCAGCCCTGGCTCCAGGCGATGCTCAGGGCTTCCCTACGGACCATTGCTCTGCCCTGACTCCTGTCCCATGTCCTCAGGTCCCTTTGGGTGATGGGTCCCTTTGGGTGACGGGTTTCCCACCCTGCAGATCGCCCCTCCGGCCTCACCTCGTTGTTAACAGCACTATTTAGCTATTAACATTCCCCTCCGAAGGCTGCCTGCAGACGCTCTCTGGTTGCAAAGCTGGACAAGCCAACTGTCCCCAGTGTCCCCATAGGACCCTTGGCCTTGCCCAGCTCACCACAGACACCCCAAAACCCCACCACAGACACCCCAAACCCCCCGCCACCCCATTTCCCACCTGTGCCCAGTGCCACTAGATGGCATTTGAACACCGCGCACCCGGGACACACCAGCACCGCAAAGGTTTCCGCGCCTTCCGTGCAAAATCCTCCCCATTTCCCTTTAATCTCTAAACCGCATCTCATCACCTGCCCAAGTTCAATTTCTCTTCCAAGGAAGAGAAAAGCACCGAGCCAAAATAAGTGAAAAATCCGCTCAAAAACGGGGAGAAAGCCCAGAAATTGCAAAGCAAGTTGGGTTTTATTTCTGCAGAGGGTTGTTTCCTATGGAAAATGTGGCTTGGGCTTCCCCCAAATAACTTTTTTGCCCCTCCTGCAAGGAAAAAAAAAGCCAATTCTTTGCAGAGCCCCTGGGTCTGGTGGCATCCCCCCCTGGGTCTGGTGGCACCCTCCCTGGGCAGCACTCACCAGGATGCTTTGCTGGCTCCAAGAGCCCCCCAGGGATGGTGTAAAACCAGAGACCTGGGCGAGCAGCCGGAGCAGCCGCATGGCATCCTTGGAGCTCACACGCCAGCTCTGCGCGTCCCCTGCTTCTGGCAGCAGCCGGGGAAAGCATCACCCAGCGAGACCCCCCCAGCCATGGGGCACAAATGCCTCCACCACCCACCCGGGAGCCCTTCCCCAGAGGCACATGCTGGGAAAAAAGAACAACCCAACAAACCATCAGCAAAAATCCCCCCCCCCCCGGCTGGAAAAACACTTGAGACCCCCAAGCAGCATCCCCCAGCCCGGCATCTCCGGAGCACGGCGTGCTGGGCCCTCCCCGCCTCTCCAGAGAACGATGGTGCTGGTAAAAAGGGGGTGGCATCAGTCCTTGGGGACACCAATAATTCCTTAACCAACCCCTTGCTGGAGCTGGGGCACCTCCACCAAGGGGAGAGCACACCCGCCCCCCAGCCCCCCCTTTTGCTGAGCAGCATCCAGAGAAAAAGCACTTTTTTTTTTTTTTTCTTTCAGTTGTTTATTTTCAAGTTCCAAAAGGGGTATTACAGACAGGAAAAATAACAACCAGAAAGCTGTTCTTACACGGTAGTGATGGTGTCCCGTTAGGGTGGTGGGGGACAACGGCCGAGGTGGCAGCAGTGCTGCTGTGGGGACACGACGCGCCCCGTGCACGCCGAGGTCCCCCCTTACCACGGCAGCGAGTGCTGCGGGAAAGCTGCTCGCTGAGGAGCTGTAAACCCCGCGGTACCAGCTCCAACCCAGTCACTCGCTTTCCAAACCACAGTCCATCAACCTGCTCTGTTTTTTTCCCCCTCATATAGACCCCAAATAAGCAATAAACCCCCCGTTTAAATACGGGGTGCAGGATGCAGACTGAGCGCCTGCGAGCAGCGGAGCTGGACAGGAGGCTTCTGCTCTCCAAGGAAACAGAAACCAGCTTCTTCCAAAGATAAAATCCGCCCCCCGAAACAGTGCTTTAGAGGCGAACGGCGTCCCTGCACCGCGGGGCTGCAGCGGAGGCGATGCGGGTCCTCACCCTCGCACCCTGCTCCGCATCGCAAACCCCTTCGGCCACAGGCAAGAAGCCACCAGGAGAGAAAACCAGTTTCCCCCCTCCAACCCAGAGAGCATCCATGGGTGAGTGAGACACTGGGTGCTCCGGGGTGCTGGGTCCCCAGGCTCCAGTGCCGTGCCCGTGCTGGCGGTGCTGGACTCGGGGCTGGCAGAGGCACGCCGGCGCGGTGCAGCGCGGTCGCGTGCCGGATACAACCGGAGGCAGCGCTACAGAGTACAAGGAGCATCTCCCGCATCCCAACTCATCACGGGAGGACCCGGGATGCTGCGCCGACAGCCGACACGAAGCCAAGGGAGCCGGGACGAGCTGTCTACGGAAACCTCCCAAGAGCCAAGAGTTTCAATTTTTATTTATTTTTTTTTCTCTTTCTCTCTGTTTAAAAGCTATTTGTTCCACGTGCGGTGGTCCCACGGCGTCCCGCCGCTCCCGCTCTGCCCCCGAGCACACCCAGGGTGGTGGGACGGGGTTCGTTTTTCTTTGCGAGGTGCTTTTTGCTTCCACGATCACACAAACTGTAACAAGCTTTACAAGAAAACACTGGCGAGTCCTGAGGTCTGGCAGCAACCTTTTCCTGTGTGGGCCAAGGGCAGGAGGCTCTCCCTTCCCCTCCTCCTCCATCATACATCTCCTTCAGCCTCTTCTTCTTCAGCACCGGGAGTTTTCGGTCCCTTTTCACAAGCTGCTTTCTCCACTGCTTTTTCGACTCCGGTTTTGCTAGCTGCTTCCTGCAAAACAGCGAATAAAGCACACGGATGAGAAACAGGGGTGAGGAGGAAGCAGCGGGGAGGCGACAGCGATGCTGGGGATGGGTCCAGCCAGCCAAGCCCGGCAGGGCCGGCAAAATTCTCCCCTTGGCTCCCCCCTGCCCATTGACTACCATGGCTCCCACCAGAGGCTCCCGTTTTCTTGGCTCACTGGCTGGCGAAGGTTAAACCTCATCGGCTCAGCGAGCTTTTGGGGAAGGTGTGGGATGATTTGGGAATGAGGTGACCCACCTCGACCGGAGCAGGGTGCTGACAGAGAGCCTGGATGGATGCAGGGGCACAGCGGAGAGGGACAAGGAGATAAAGCAGCGGCGTTGGTGTGGAGCCACGGGACCCAGCCGCGGGCGCAGCCCTTACAGCCGGCCGCGGGGGCAGGAGAGGAGCGCTAAGGCAGGGTAAAGCCTTACGCCGGCTCCGGCAGTGACTCCCCATCGCAGCCGGCTGCACGAGCCAAGGCACTGCGGTGCCAGCAGCCGGCCGGGGCAGCTCCGCTCCCTGCCCCAAGCTGGTTACCCCGGCACGTTGCTCCCCAGGGTCTGCACCGGCCACTTATTCCACAGCCTCAACCTCCAGGCACTGGTTCAGAAGAGATTATGCTAAAAATGACCCATGCAGACGGCTTGCAAAGCTGGGTCCTCTCTCGTTACAGTACACCGGGTTTTGTTCAGAGGAATTTTGGATGAGAGCCTGTTACAAGACAGCGATCTCTCCGTACAAGCAGAGGAACAGGCTATTGCCTTACCAGGTTCAGGAAATCCATACTATCATGTCTCAAAATACCCTTGGCCTTGCCAGAGATGGGATGACATTTCATTTCACCGGTGACCAGGAGGTCAACAGTCACTAGCTGGGAACAGCAAAATTAAGTACGAATGCCAACCCTGTTATCAGCCTCCCGGAGCTCGCACCGCAAATACTTGATCAATGACTGAGCATCTGAGAGCAGTCTTAGAGACCAAGAAATACACCACTTCTTCCCACTGCAGCAGGCTCTAGCCCTCCATCCTCAACCTGATCTAGAATTTAATTGGTTTTAACCCATCTCTTCTCATCACAAACCTGCCGAGCATAGAATCATAGAATGCTTTGGGTTGGAAGGGACCCCTAGAGGTCACCCAGCCCAACCCCCCTGCAGGAGCAGGGACACCTTGAACCACAGCAGGTTGCTCACAGCCCTGTCCAACCTGGCCTGGAATGTTCCCAGGGATGGGGCCTCCACCCCCTCTCTGGGCAACCCCTGCCAGGGTTTCACCGTCCTCAGTGTAAAGAATTTCTTCCTTAGATCCAGTCTAAACCTCCCCTGCTTCAGTTTAAAGCCATCCCGCCTTGTCCTGTCACAGCCGGCCCTGCTAAAAAGCTTGTCCCCCCCTTTCCTCTGGGCCCCCTTTAAGCCCTGACCGGCCGCACTCAGCTCTGCCCGCAGCCTTCTCTTCTCCAGGCTGAACACCCTCAACTCTCATGGCCAAGACCAGGCAACACGCACCTTTGCATCCCTCTCCGCAAATTTTGTGAACATGTTGGCGTAGATCCTCCGATCCCGCTCGTTGTGCTCCTTCGTTTTCTTCTGGCAGACGGAGATCTGCGATTTCGCTGCTTTGTTCTGTGGATTCACTTCCAGCACTTTTTGAAAGTCACATTTTGCCAGCTCAAACTCGTTCATCAATAACCTGGCTTCGCCCCTTCGGTACAAGCCCTTCTCGTTGTCCTGGTCCAGTCCTAGCGCCTGGGAACACGCAGGTCCCTGTTAGCAACGTGGGGAACCCCCAAAGACCCCCTTATGGTCAAAACCTCATTAAAACTGCCAAAATTAGGACAAGGTGGCTTCAAGTCTCCAGAGCACTTGCATCTTGCTCAACAAAAACTGACGCGTCTCCATCAGCGGTTGGCAGGTCGTTAATATGGCTCAGTTATTTCTCCTGGCTTAAAATCCCCCTGTGAGCAGCGGAGTCGGCAGGAGAGAAACCCACGGAAAAGAAATCAGGTGTAAATGCTAAACCGGAGCCCAGAGGAGCACGGAGAGCTTGGAGGCCGGGCAGCTGATGGGTTAAACGTGGTTTTGTCTCCCTGCTTTAGCAATGATGTAATTTTCCTTTAGTAAAAGCCCCATACGCATCTCAGAAGTGATTTACCTTTCCGATTAAGGCAACTAGCTTTACCGTCTTTCCCACATGCAAGATGCTTAAATTTAAGCCTTTTATAAAAGAATTAATAGTTTCCTGAGATAGACAAGGTTGCAGCTCTTTTAGGGACTGGCAAAGCCCCATCCCACCCCTCAAAGGACTTGGAGATCTGCTGCAGCTCTGGCAGAGGCTGCCTCTGTCGTACCCAAATCAGCGCCCAATGCCCAAATCCAGCCTGGGCAGACCCAAACAGCAGCCGAAGGCTGTCGGTCCATGTGGGATCCATTCACCTGGATCAGCCTTTGGAAGAAAAGCTGTTGTAAGTGCATGTCCAGGTGGATTTTGAACTCCAGAAACCACTTTTGCTGCGGCAGTCTCCGAGCACACAGCATCCACGGGGACCCCGAGGTGCAGAAGGGATGCCACCATCCCACTGCCGCTTGGAAACTGCTTTTTATATTAAAAGAAAATTTTAAAACAAACAAACAAACAAACTCCCAGTGAAAACATGCAAGAGGAGAGGATGCTCCAACCCCCCCGGGCTCGTGCACCTCTACCTTATCGCAGCATTCGACGGCTTTGGCGTATTCTCGCAGCTTCAGGTAGCACATGGCCAGGTTGAGGAAGGCGGCCAGGAGGAAGGAGTCAGAGGCTTTCGACTCTTTCTCAGACAAGCCGTATTCCATTTCCAGCCAGGACACGATCTTCCTGTACTGAATCACTGCCTGCAGGTATTTGCCTTCCTGGGATGGAGTAAAGAAGAAGAGGCTGGAAGAACCCACACCGACAGCGCTCGCTCTGCTCCCGAAGCGTCCTGCAAGCAGGTGAGGAGTTTAACACAGGGTGTTAAATAAATAAATGAAGGCAGGCAGATGCTGACCGGGGCCTGGCTGGTGCTGCTGGTGTGCAACCCCTCCGAAAAGCCAAGTCAGAGCTTGCATTCCTCCTCTGCACAGAGCATCGGAGCATCACAGAATCCCAGAATGGCAAGGGTTGGAAGGGACCTCGGGAGATCATCCAGTCCCACCCCCCTGCTAAAGCAGGTCTCCTAGAGCATGTTACACAGGACTTCATCCAGGCGGGGGTTGAATATCTCCAGAGGAGACTCCACAGCCCCCCTGGGCAGCCTGTTCCAGTGCTCTGTCACCCTCAAAGTCAAGAAGTTTTTCCTCATATTCAACTGAAACCTCTTATGTTTCAGTTTGTACCCATCGCCCCTTGTCCTGTCGCTGGGCACCACTGCAAAGAGTCTGGCTCCGTCCTTGTGACTTCCACCCTTAAGATATTTGTACGTGTTGATGAGGTCCCCTCTCAGTCTTCCCCAGCCGGGGAAGGGGAACTGCAAAGCCCCTCGGCATTAGCCCTGGCCACATCCACCCCTGGAAGAGTCCAACCTGCCATCCTGCTCCACAGGGAGCACATGGCAATGCCGTGGAAAGGAGGAGGTATCTCAGGGAGGGAGAAAAAGGCGGAGGAAGGGCAGGATTTGCCTTCTCCAGCGCTGTTTGGGGGGGGACACGGCTTCTCCGACGCTGCCGACTGCTAAGTCGTGTATCCGATGGTCACCCCAAATTTATTTCCTTGCTCTGCCTCTGCCACCCCCAAGTTTACAAACCTTGAAGTACATCGTGCCTTTCTCCTTGACGATGGCAGCCTGCTCCAGCTTCTCTTTGGTGTCCATCTCCCATGACTCCTTGGCCTGCAAATAAATGCTTGGAGCAATCCCAGCGGAGCAGGGCAACCCACCGCGCCGACGGGACTGCATGGCTTTCTAGGATTGCTCCGTAAGGGCAGCATTTCAGAGGACTCGAGACCTTTTTTAATTTGAGGGGTTGGGGATGAGGAGACACCCAGAGCACATGGCGGGGTGAGAACCTGGAGCCCTTTAAATAGAAAAACCCCTGCCAGGTTCAGGACGTCACCCTGAGCAGGGTGGTTTGTCCACCGCAGCCCCACAGGAGGGAAAACCCTGCCAAAAACCCCAAAAAGAGAAGAGGAGGGTGGGGAGAAACATCCCCCAGCAGAGAGGGGATGGGCTGGGTCTCGCTCCCGCTCTGGCCAGGGTGATGGGGTGGGGAGGGGACCCCGCCGGGGCTGCGGCACAGCAGCACCTGCCCCATCCCATGGGCATCTCCTGCATCCCTGTCCCCAGCCTCCCCACAGGCACAGCCGGCCTGGCATGCCAGCTGAGCTCCTCGGGTCAGCTGTCAGAGACACCAACTTTTATCTGTGCAACCCAGGGGAAAAAAAAAGGTAAAGAAAAAATACGAGAGGAAAAGAAAAAATACGAGAGGAAAAGAAAGGAAAAATACGAGAGGAAAAGAAAGAAAAAATACACGGGAGGAAGAGAAAAAATATACGGGAGGAAAAGAAAGAAAAAATATACGGGAGGAAAAGAAAGAAAAAATATACGGGAGGAAAAGAAAGAAAAAATATACGGGAGGAAAAGAAAGAAAAAATATAAGGGAGGAAGAGAAAAAATATACAGGAGGAAAAGAAAAAATACGGGAGGAAAAGAAAAAAGGAAATTAAAAAAAAAGAAATAAAAAAAGAAAGTACAAAAGGAACAAGGCGAGGAACAAATAAGAGAACCAGCCTTGGACCCCAGCCAGAAAAATAAACCAAACCAACAGAGAAGAACAAATGAAGAACACCGAGATCCTTGGTGACGTAGCTGCTTCAGCAGGGGCCGGGCTGCAGCCACGCCAGGGACAAGGGGCGGACGCTGCAAAGGGACCGGCGTTCCCGTAACCTGGGGAGGGACCAGCGCGCTCCTACCCTCACCTTTTCAAAGCTTTTCAGCGTAACCTCGTACACCAGCTCCGCGTTCGCCTGGATGCCGTATTTCGGCTTTCCCGCCTCGCCAAAGCCGTACCTGAAAGGGCAGAAAGGAGCTGTCAGAGAGGGGTGGGAGTGGGAAATCTTCATTTTGGAAGCGTTCGGCCATAAACACAGACCCAGGTCACTAAATCTGGTTTCATATCCAGCTCCACGCCTGCAGCTTTTTAACGCTTTGGGGCCAGGGTGATGTTATTCTCAATAACCAAAGATATCTGACAATATACAAACTCATTGTGTATTGGGAATCATCTTCTCCAGATGCAACAAATCCATCTTTTTATACAGGTTTTTCTCCATTTTAAGGACCCAGCCCAGGCCATTTCCAGGGAGATATTTTCCTTTCGGCCACAGGACTTGGATAAACCCCTTTTACTTGATTTTTTTAAAGCATCCCGAGATTCCTGTCGACGCCCTCGGTCACTCTCGCCATCCCTGCTGACAGCGCTAACCCAAGGCTCTCCTGGAGGGTCCTCTCTCCAGGATTGCCATCTTCCACGAGTGCCAAAACGACCTCGGCTGTTGGAAGCTCAAAACAAGACGGCGTCCCCGCAGGGATGCTCCTTACCGTGGCCCGAGGTAGAGGACGCAGTGCTCGCCCCTCTGCATCTTTTCCAGGGCTTTGTCGATGCCGATGGGGATGTCGTGGTCCTCCCCTTCGCCCACGACGAATTTCACGTCTTTGCAGTCGAACCTGGTGCCGCCGCAGAATCCTTCCAGGTGAACTGCAGTGAGGGGAGAGGGCAGGATCGTACCCGGAGCCTCCCAAACCAAGGCAAGGTGGGCTCCGAAGAAAGCATCAGCTTATAAAACCTATCCCCGAAATCCAGCAAAGGCTGCAGCCCTGGAAGGGGGACACAAGGGCTGGGGGCGGCCAAGGAGCCCCCTGGTGAGCAGAGAGGGATGGGGAGGGCTTGGAAACATTGCTGAAAAGCAAGACAGGCATATCTCATCCAACCAAGGACCAGACAACAGATAAACATCGTGACTAATATGTTCCCCTCGTACTCAACTGCACGAGTCAAGTCTTACTGGAACTGGATATTGCTCCTGGCACGCCGCCACGCCGAGTTTATCACGGCGATTACAAATCTTCTATACAGTGCTATACTGCCTTGCCTTCCACCTCGAGAACAAGGCTACGTTCTCCTGCCTCTAAGAACTCAAAGTACAAGATAAACTTCTTTTTTTAATTATTACTGTTATTATATTTATTTATTTTTTTAATCTTCAACCAATGACCGTGCTGTTCCAGCCCCAGCCGCTGGCAGAAGCACAGCGGGAGCGGACACCGGGTACCTGGCACATTTGCCACCTGGTACTCCTGGCTGCGTTTCCACAGTGAGATTATTCTTTATTTATTCAAACCTGAAGACGTTCCGGGCTTTGGGGGCAGTTTTATGTTCTTTGGACTCTTGCTGGCAGGATACAAGGCGCACACATGCGGGCAGGTATAATGCAAAAGCAATTTCATAAGGAACTCCTACGTACTGGTTTTAAAAAAAAAAAAAAAAAAGGCAAAAGAAACAAAAAAAAAAAGCTTTTTAAGAGGAAAAATTCAGGGTAGGCATTAATGTTGTCACAACTGGGCTGAAAGGCTTTGCAGCCAGGAAGGACGTGAGCTTTCCCTCTGGTCGCTGCAGAGCAGAGGGCAGGATGCGACCCGAGCTACGGCAGGGCACCCAGCACCTCGCCCCTGCGGCAGGGGTGCAGGAGGCGAGCGCGGGGACAAACCGAAGCAGACGCCGTGCCGGACACAGCCGAGAGGGTCCGGGCTCCGTATGGGAGAGCTGCAGCCTGGGCTGAAGGAAACCTGCCCACCCCTGCCCCACGGACACTTCCCTGCCCTGGGACCTACGGAAAGTCCCTGGGATGAGACGCACGGACGAAGGGAGACCGCAGGCAGATCCCCGTTCCTGGGGCAGGTCCAGCCCTCGGGCGTTAAACGCCGCCTTAACACAACCCAAGGATGCTCTCCCCACCGCGGGGACACCGTGTCACCTCCCTCCCGCCACCAAAGCCACGCTGGGACTCAAGTGCGGTGGAGCGGAGGGCGCTCACGTGCTCACCAGCACCCCGGGACGCATCCTGCATCCAGTGCTGGCGTGCGGCGACCACGAGGCTCAGGCTGGCGTGTGCTCACCGGGCTCGGAACAAGGACAAAAGGCAAATCCAGCGCCTCCAGGGCTGACCTCTATTTTCACGCTACCCAAAGCCAAGTTGGCTATTTTCTTAGGCATAGAAAAGTGGAAAATTCAGCCTAAAATACCGGTAACCCAGCAACCCCCCAGCACCACGCCATCTCCCTGCGTGATCCCAGTAAGGATCCATAATCCCTGACCCCAAAAGCAGAGCTACAGCTCTCCCAGGTCCCCTGTCCCCAGCGGGATGCGGCAGGGACAGGAAGATCCCGCTTTAAAACAGGACGCCCCGGAGGATGCCACGATCCTTCCCTTCAAGCCTAGTTTTGCTCTTATTTTAATTGCACATAAAATGCACCGGGCAAAGGGGAGAAAATCTCCGCTCCGGTTTCCAGGAGCAGGTCAGCTGGCTGCAGTCGCTCTTGGATTACAGGGGGAAAAAAAAAAAAAAAAAAAAAAAAGCCTGCAGAAGGAAAATCACTCCGGTTGCAGCCCTGACTTATTGTTCTCTCGGTGCCTGCAGCGATTTTGTTTTTGAAGAGCTGAGAACAGAGTGTACCGAGTGCGGCTGGCACATGAACTTGATGTGCTGACAGCAATTTGTACTCAGATTAAAAACGGAGAAGGAGGGGGGTGGGGGGAAGGTTGTAACAAAAGCTGGAATGCCAGATTTCAACTGCAGTCCAGGGTTTTAGGGACCGGAACTGAAAATTAGGCTCTGCAAAACTTAAACCCTATAAAAACACTTTCAAAACTCCAGCCTGGAGATGCTCACTCCTGGAAGCAGGATTTCTTCCAGCTGAACGCCAGCGGCAATGCACCTCCCAAGTACGTGGCCCTCGGCCGCTCCCCTGGGTCACAGCCTTGCCCGGGAGCTGCTGTGCCATTGTCCCCAGGGCTGCCGTGCCGTGCCATCGTCCCCAGGGTTGCTCCATGCCCAGCACAGTGCCCATATAAATAGCACTGCATTTGTGAAAAAAAGAAAAAAAGGAAAAAAGAAAAAAAGAAAAAAAAAGTAAAAAAAGAAAAAAAGAAAGAAAGAAAAAAAGAAAGAAAAAAGAAAAAA